TGAAAACATTTACATTATTTCATGTATTTTTCACGTACACTCAAATTTATTTGTTTGTTTGTTGGATTTATATGGCTGCATATCTCAAATACATGACTCTGGGTGGCTAGCTATATTAAAAATAATAAAACCACATTCAAAATATAACATGAAACCACATAGTAGCCTAGAAATTTTTTTTAAAAAAAATCAGTGCGTTTTATCTGCATTTGAGGTAGGGGAGTCCTCAAAATTTAAAGTGTGAAAAACATTTAATTTAATTTAATTTAATTTAATTTATTAAATTTCTCCCCCACCCATCTCCCCCCAAAGGAAGCCAAAACCAAATAGAAATTTTTTTTAAAAAAAATTTCTGTAGGGGAGTCCTCAAAATTTAAAGTGTGAAAAACATTTAATTTAATTTAATTTATTAAATTTCTCCCCCACCCATCTCCCCCCAAAGGAAGCCAAAACCAAATATTGACATTACGGCTTAAGATGATATGCAAATCAGTAACGTCTCTGAGTATCTGTACTAGAAAAAAAATAATCTCATGATCTATTCTCTTTCCAAGGCTCCCCAAGCAATAAACTCACCATCTCTGTTGAGCTGAATGGGTGGGAAATACGTTGAAATGCTTGCAGGTTTCTGTGTCTTGTCATAGATGGGTTTGAATTCTTCGGGAAGTTCTGCAGTACTGTTCTTCACATACTTAGTTATCCCAAGCCACATATAGATTTCCAGTTTTGCAAAGATCTCTTCGGTGCGTGACCCTGGAACCTTTAAGCCCAAACAATAGTTTCAATTACTGTCTTTTCTGTTGCTGGATTAAACACATGAGATTCATTATTTATCCTGCTTTCTTTCTTAACTAACACTCACCACCCTCAGCTTTAATTACTAATGATCAGATGGATAATGTCTACCTTTAGAAAGACAGTTTGGATCTTTGCACAGTCCTTGCCTTTCTCTTCTTCCACCACTGCATAAAGGATATTCTGGGCAGGGATCCTTGAATATGCTACACGCTTGTTGTTGCAGAACATCCAGATCAGGACATCAGGGATAGTACACTGGGGCTGAAAAAGATAAGGAAAAAATGGGAAACAAAAGTTTTTGACTTGTTGAAACTAGCAAGAAAGTTCATTGTTAAGGCTATTCTTTGTATATTCATAGAGTAAAGAATAGTACACACTTTAAATACTTTTTTCTAGAAAAAGAGATAATGGAAAGGAAAGGTGCTTGGATTTATGGAATTTTAGTGGGTAATAATGTGGGAACAAAAGATTACTAGAAAGTACTAGGAACTATGCTTGCAGTAATTTTGAACAGCAATCATTTCACATTTCACCATCCAGATGCCTTGTGATTTGTAAAACTTTACCAGGAGCCTTCAGATGTTTTCAAGACTCCCATAAGGAGAATTTGAATTCCTCCTTTCTAAACGTAAATATGAAAATTCTATGAAATTACCTCATTCCTTTACAGCATCAGAACTTCATGCTCCTGAAATATATCTATTTCCTGTTTCTTGAACCCTAACCCTACAAACACAAAAACCAACTGCTCAGCTGTGGTAATACCCTTTGTTCTGCAATTCAGTCATGTACCTCTTTAGCCAGGAAGCGCAGCTTTGACAGGATCATCTTTGTCTCATTTACTTTCTCCCTGACGTTGATCCGAGTCAGTCGCCTCCTTATGCGGAGTCCCTGTTTTGCATAGAGTATCTGAGGGCAACAAAATGATGTCACTTTTAAAATGTATTATGCTAAATTAATCAACAAATGAAAGGTATAAAGACATGCAATGACATTAAAGGATCAGGACAACTTCAACAATGACAAGCATAGCAATACAAAAGGCCTGGAAATTATTTTAACAGAACTCCAAACACTTTGAACAAATTGCTCCAAAACATCTTCCTTGCCCCTTTTTGAAAAAAAAGACTACAATTGCAATGTTAACCCACAAAGCATATCAAGCAATCCATTACTACAAATCAAGCGTATATTTCTCCGTTCACAATTGTAGAATATTTCTTTTAGGCAGCCCCCATGCCAGAAAAACCACAATTCTTAATAACTTGGTAGGTTCCAAACACTGGGGATATTGCCAAGAAAAACATTTTCACATACAGCAACTGACCCAAAGTCAAATAATTAAGGCAATAAATAATTTGGTTCATGTACACTGACTGCTCAATGAGAGTTCAGGACGGGTACATTATAATCACAGTGCTGGTGGTAAAATAACTCAGGAGTTGGAATATTAACTCTTTATGGTTATTGTTATGGTTCTGAGCTGTTTCAATAACAACAGAAAATATCTTCATCTAATCAGATATTTACCAACACAGGGAATCAGATTGAGTTCATGAGTATAAATTCTGGTTGTTTGCATTCCTGTTTTCAGAATGAGAGGAACTGGTATAATTCTAGAAATGCTTGGTTTAGAATAAATGTAACTTGGGCAGTAAGAGAAAAAGAATATAAGAATGAAAAAAGGGATGGAATAATTAAAGTAGAATATAGCAGGAAGAAATAAAGCAAAGTGAGGAGACAAAAGAGGATTGCAATGTACAGATAATAAAAGATGACAAAACAAAGAAATAAGAGATATAGAACATGGAAGACATAAACCAATATTAGGAACTGGAGGCAATTCTTCCTCATATACACTTCAAGTTTACAGATTTGTTGATAATCGATAGGGAGACACACAATAACATTTTGTTTCCAAGTTGGTGCTAGAGAAGTTATGTCTGTGACTATGCCTATTCTTTGCTCCTGAAAAGTAGAGCCAAGCATTCTATCTCTTTAGAGCAGCTTTCCCCAAACTGGTACCCTCCAATTATGGGATGTCTTATACAACTGGAGGGTACTAGATCAAGCTGATCTACAACAATAACATAATCTGGCTGCATAACTTACAATGTTTTGTGGGAGAGATTTCATCCGACATCGATCAAGGTTATTTGGACGAGTCATTGGTTTTTTGTCCACATTAAGAGAATACTGCCTGAAATTGGAGAGACTGATAAGTTTTAGTTTATGAGAACAACATACATTGCATGAATTTACAAATAATTAGAAATCACCACAACATCTGACTCTCTACACAGTTAGAAGAAATCAGTATACACTGAAATCTCATTTTAATGAATGAATTGAGAGCAAGGGGTGTCCAGTCTATCCCAAAGTATATTAAATGAAAGAGCACATTATTGCAAAAACAGAAATGACATTTTTGATGCAAATGACAAATTGAGAGTCAGTTTGGTGTAACGGTTAAGGTGCTGGACTAGAAATCAGATCATGAGTTTTAGTCCTCCTTTCAATATGGGAGTTGGCTGGGTGACTTGAGGCCAGTCACTCTCTGTCCAACTCACCTTAAAGAGTAGTGGAGAAAATAAGAGAAAGAGAAAAATAAACAAGTCCAGGAAGACGGATCAAATTATCTTAGTTATACAAAATAAAGGCAGGATATAAATCTAATTGACAGATTGATAAAAATGAAGCAATTTGTGTAATGTTCCAGGGTGCCAATGGTACAAATTGCATTATTTGTGTCACTTGCAAATTGACATTATTAAGCAAATGATGTAAATTGCAGAAGAATTAGATCTCCTATATGTGAAGTTCATGGATCAAGGTCCAGTAAATTGGGGTTCCACTGTACATTCAGTGTTATAAAATAGTACTGTATCCAGAACTACCCACTAACTTTCTTAAATGCATGTTGTTAATGTCTTGTAAGCCCAAAGACTGGCTCTGGACAATTTTATCTAGAAATATCCTGTGGAAGTTCTTGAAGAATATCAGTTTTTTTTCCTCCCTTCTGAATTAATATGTGGATTTAAGAAAAAAACTATAAAGATCCTTCAAAGTATATACATGAATATGCTTCAAAATATGTGGAAGCTGCCATTTTTTGTAATAAAGTGTTTGGTGGCAGACCTATATCTCTAGAGTGTATCTAAGACACAACATATGAACCTACATCCAACAGCGACCTTCCATGGGGCTGTTATGCAGTGATACTTCAATCAAGATTAATGCCAGTGCCAATAGTTGGGACAGGAAGGACTAAAAAGGTAACTAGTGCAATCTGACCACTGAGTAAAAAGACAACAGAGGTTTACTGACCTGCATCCAGCAACAAACTCCTCCAAAACCTGTCGAAGCCTCTCATCTGCTTTTGATTTTGGTCTCCTCAAGAGTTTCTCTACATCTTCTAGTCCATGCTCCTATTGCAGCAAAGAGGCTAGACTCATTTAACACACTCAATCCTAGGTTAACAAAACTCAACTGCTATTTTGATTAAAAGGTTACAGCCAAATTATATCATGTATTAATGTGATGGGCTCTTTAACACATGATGCTAACACAGTGGCTGGATTCCCACAATGTACTGAAGCACGAACTCTCCATCCTCATCTTAGTCCTGACCAGCATATTGTACAAATCCAGTTATCCAGTGATGAAATCAATCGTCAGTGCCAGAAGCAATATGTATTCTTGACACATGTATTTATTTTAACATTTTCTTAGTAATGTCTTAGAGTGCAGATTACAGAAGCTGGATAAATATTTCATGTCCACTTTACACTTATTTATTGATAAGCCTGTACAGTCCTATTTCTGTGTAATGTGAAGGTTTTTTAAAAAAAAAATCCATATAAAATTGATCTATAAAATTTAAAATAATCATTAGTAAACAAGTTTTAGTCAAATGTATACTGTTATAAGCATCGATCATCCTAAACCACTTATTTCAACATGTAAAACCTGGAAGATAATTATGTCCTACTCTACACATTCTGTAAGGTCAGATCAGTTCATATAGAATTTCCAAAAATCACATTTCTAAAAAAAAATTATAATTAAAGTACTACTAAACCAACCCAAAACTAAATAATTTACAACAGCAGTTAAAATATTAAATCAGCATAAATCAATGAATTCAATAAAGTGGCAAGTGGGTGGCCATTTAATCAAATAAAAAGTGTACTTAAACATTGAGAAAGAGTTATATGTAATTCTCACAGGAGGGAACTCCAAGGATGAAGGCATAATATGCACCCTGCACCAAAAAGGTTATGCCACACAGAAGCAACAAGGATATCATTCTGCAAAGAAATCAAGAAGATTTTCTTAATGTGATTCGTGATTTAGCTGCCTGAACAATTATGCATGCTCCCAGGAAATCAAATATGTGGGAAGAAGCAGCAGGGTGTGACAGAAGGTTTCCAGATGAAGCAATACTTTACCAAACGCTCTGCTATTTTGACAATCCAGTTGGAATTATAGAGTCTCCAGGTGTAGTCTTCCCAGTAGCTCCATACATAAACACAGGGCTTCTCATGCAACATGGGGAGGCAGCTGTAAGAGCTAATAGCAGTATGCAGAGAATGCTTAAGCTTGTACAAATAGCTAACATTTGTCTGCCTGCCAGAGTTCTCTTGATTAGGGTTACCAGATCTGGGCTGCAGAAATCTCTAGCTTTGCTCAGCAAAGGTGCAGCTCAAACCTGGTAGCCCAACTATTGTTACAGTAGATGCCAAGTAGGGAAACTGCATAAAACAAAGAACTGCTATTTGTTTGGGAAAAGGAACATAAACATCAAGTCTATAGGATGGAGGAAGATTGTGTTTCCGCTACAAGAACCTGACACAGATCATGGGTGAATAATGTGAATTATGGGTGAATAATGTGAAAGAATGTGAATGTCTGCAGCATTCTGTATAGCTCTTAGGGGTGGGCAATGTTCTCAGCCCTAAGAGCTATACAGGATGCTGCATACATTCACATTGTTCACATTCATGTACCTCTTCTTATACACATTTACATACATCTATCTTTCTCAGTCCATAGAATTAGTGATACAAGTTAATGAAAACATGGAAATTCAAATGATGTAAAAATATTGAGAAATTACCTATCATATTCAGTGGGTTCTGGTCTTTGGTTCACTGTCATAGACTTATCAAGCAAAGTTGTAGTTGGAGGCATGACTTCAATATCCAGCTCTTCATCTGAAAGGGGATCTAGCAATGGCTGTTTTTCTTCACTCTTTTCTCCCTTCTCACCTTTCCTAAACATCTTGGTGGTAACTTCTTCAGTTTTTCCATAGTTCCCTTGAAGTTAAACATGCTTATTTTTTGTTATCATAGCACATTTTGCATGAGAATTTTTGTTTGATTTGAACATAAAGATAAAATATAATCTATGGTCCAAAATGAGTGAGTGAGTGAGTGAGTGAGTGAGTGAGTGAGTGTCTGTCTGTCTGTCTGTCTGTCTGTCTATCTATCTATCTATCTATCTATCTATCGATCTATCTATCTATCTATCTATCTATCGATCTATCTATCTATCTATCTATCTATCGATCTATCTATCTATCTATCTATCTATCGATCTATCTATCTATCTATCTATCTATCGATCTATCTATCTATCTATCTATCTATCGATCTATCTATCTATCTATCTATCTATCGATCTATCTATCTATCTATCTATCTATCGATCTATCTATCTATCTATCTATCTATCGATCTATCTATCTATCTATCTATCTATCTATCTATCTATCTATCATCTATCTATCTATGAATTTAAGTAATGTATAAGCCTCCCATTCCATAAATTGGTTTAGGCCATTTATGAAAACATAAACTTGTATAGTGAGTTGGGTGGCATATATAAATTTGAAAAGTAAATAAAAAATAAATAAAATAAACATTAAAGCCATATAAAGATAATTTTAAAAATTCTAAAAAGACTGGGTAAAAAAAACAACTCCTAAACAATGTATCTTTCACGGCCGGCATACGATGGCTGGTGTGGGTCTTCCGGGCTGTGTGACTGTGTTCTGGAAGTTTTGTTTCCTAACGTCCTCACCAGGACATGTGAACGGTTCACACAATGAACTTGCTAATCACCCCCAGCAGCCCCTTGTTA